ATAAATCCACCAGCCACTTTAATGTCTGCTTTTTGAAGAGGAAGGATCGACATGACAACCTTGGTGTATTTTATTATAAAATACATGTTTTGTAGGCCTTTTATTCATTTTGGTTTATTTTTTTAAAGCCAAAACTACATTGCAAAATTTGGAGAAATACAAAATTGTCTGGATTTTGAACCAGATATTAATTTGAAAGATGCAAGTAATATTTTTTTTGCTTCCAGATGTTGACTGAAATTTTTGCTTGGGATGTCCAGGCAATCTTGAGTAGCGCAGGAAACTTGACCAGAGGATTGATTAGACTTGAGCTGGTAATGATTAGTAAACGGGCAGGACCAGTTGGTAACTTGATAGCATCAAATGTTTTAACAGTGCCAGGTAGGTCAGATATACCATTAACTCAGAATGAGCAGATAGATACAATAAACACAGAGAAAAGAGTCTTTTCTGTAGGGCAGGGTATCCATGATAGGTGAAATGCTAAGTGCAAGTTCATTATACAAATGACAGAGATAACAGGGAAGCAATGCTTTGCAAGGTAGGTACAATAGGAGGACTCTTTATTATTTCCAGAGTTTATAGCTGCCAGGAGCCTGACAAGCTTTCATAATCAAAGATCAGTTGCACAGATCACAAAAGGAAGCTTGCCAAGACTCAGGGGTGGGACTGAAAAACTATAGTAGAAAATGAAAGGATTGGAAAAAAGCAGTGCCCAACCACCCAACAAGAGTCATGAAAAGTTGGCCTGTTTCTTAGCAAGACATTCTGTTACAGTTAGGGCCATTCATATAACTGCTTTAATACAGCAGCCTTCCAGCAGTTAGTCGCAAAGAAAATAATTTGATAAATTAGAACTAAAATGTCTGACCACACGAGTTGTCAGTATAAAAGTTATCACAAATATTTACTAGGTGTAGAAAGGAAGGTTTGTTCTGTAATACAGTCCAGGGTGAACAAGAGATAAAACTGACAAGCCAGATTGCTTGATACTAAACATCTCAGGGCAGTTAGTCTCTCCAATGGCATAAGTATTATTGTAATACTAATGAAAATTAGTGGCAACCTTCCATCTTCACTGAGAGGTGGAATAAAGAAGCTTTGTTAATGGAGTAGAAAAAGAGATTGGCAGTCAGACACACTTAAGTGAAAGTCTCTTTTCCTGCTCTTTTACTCATTTAAAAAAGCAAAACAAAACTTTGACTTATGGGTAAAGAAAAATCAACCCAGGCCCACCTCTTCATTCCTGTGACAGCAGTATAGGGGAGAAGGATTAGTGAGCTAATTAGAAATGATTGCATCTATCAGCACTAATTAACAAGACTGGTCTCACTTGTGTGTTCTTTTGAGCTGTTCTCCTTTGGGACAGCTCAGCAGTCGACCTCCTTCCTCTGGGGCTGCTCCATCCCTCCTACATTGATTAGAAGTGATAGCTGATCTCTATAGCAGCAATTGGAAATTCTTCTTACTGTGGCTTTCATGGAGCCCTATTCTTCTCTCTTACTCTTGACATCCACTGTCAAGCTATTACAAAAACCAAAACTTTGTTAGTTCTTTACTCTGTTTACTGTTTTTCTCATGCCTTTCTAATTTCATGGGCATGAGTGTTTTTCTTTGCCCGATCTCTCATGGTCTTTAAGGTTGGCTGTGTTACTAAAAGCCATTAATCGTAAGGTACTCTTATATGCCTTTTTGGAGGCTTTAAAAAACTTATTTGCTCACCCAGGAGCTTAAGGGGAATCACCAGGTGTTTTGCAAAGTCTCTCTTTGGTTCCTTCTTTTTTGTTACTACTTGTCAGTTTTTTAGCTGTTTTAGCTGTTTTAAACCTTTTTTTCCTGTTTTGATGGTTTTTTTTATTGTACCTTTATCATCTGTTTTTATGGTAACTGTGTTAAACTCCCAGAGAGTCTCATTTGTGGAGCTGTATAGAAATGAAATAAACAAACATGCTGAATGGCACTGAAAACTTGTTAGCTCAGGCAAAAAATCAAATCCTTTGTGTTACTATCCTGTGTGTCATGTTAGAGCATACGTTGATGTCAGGAAAATCTGCCAGCTTGTAACTGGCTGCAAAACATGTAGGATTACTATAAAGACAGGGCTATTGAAGCTTTGCAAAACCACTTAAAATTCACATTTCTCTCTACATTTTGTATAAAAATTATTAAGCATGAGTCCTCTATTTGTATGAAATACTTTACAATTTCTGTCTGTGTCACACCAGAGCAATAGATTACATTATATTACAGGGTTTTTAAAAAATATGCCCATGGTAGCAACCAGAAAGGTTACCCCAGGTACTCCTTGGGGACAGTGACAAAACCATTAACAGGTGCTCAGACCATGCCTCAGACAATTAAAGGTAATGAAAAGTATTCGGATGCAAGCTAATATGACATAGGAAAGAAACCTTCCTGACTGCATTCCTTCTACTTTGGGGAGGAAGAAAGGGAGCAGGTGCTATTAATATTACATTGGAGAAACAATTCAGTGGTAATAGTACCTGGTCCCTCTCTTGAGCTAGAGGCTCCTGATAGCTCTGAAAGGGGTGGGCGTTCTTGCTCGGAGGGCAAGAGAAAATGTTGGAGGAGGCCCCGGAAAGTCTATTGGTGTGGATCACTGACTCTCCTCTGTTTGTTTGTATGACTGATTGATTTTTCAGTATAGTCAGAAAAAAGTGTTTCAGTTTGCTCATGTGTTGTCTCCAGAGAAAGAGACAAGGAAATTTAATGTCTATTGGATCAGCATTACCTTTCTCGTATTACCCACTTGAATTATTATAAACAGCTTGCGTGTGCCTATGTCCTGCCCACCCCTATTGTGTATTTGTGGTCCAGTGCTGTTGGGTACTTCCCTCTAGATGTGCAATGTTTTATCTGTTTTGGCAATGCATTTGTAATACATATGCAACATATAGTTGAGTTCATAATGTCCATAACTGTTACCATGCTAAATGACTTCTCTGTCATGTCACCTCTTATTACCACATACAATTTCCTTGGGCTTTTATTTCTGTCTTCATCAGAATTTTGACCTTACTTATTAATTAAGCTGCTCGTTTTTTCCCTGTCTGTGATTGAAAGATCTGTTAATACTTGCCTAAAGCTATCTGTCTTAATGATCAATGTTGTTTTATTGTATCTTTTTTCAACCTGGCACCTTGCAGATGCATTAGGGTACAACTCCCATCATCCCCTCCTAGTATGGCTTTGCCATGCTGATTGGAAAGGTGGAAGTCATTGTTCAACACATCTGAAAGGAACTGGGTCTGGGAGCTCTTAAAATCAAAGTATTCCAGATGTCTTGCCCTCATTTAATGTTGGTTCAAATTAACTAGCAATTGGGTAATGGAAAGGCTCTCCTGAATGTTATGTGTCTCTCCAATCTAGAGGGAAAAACTCCTTAAAAATACACTCAAGTTCCATAACTGGAAGAAGAGGTGCATAGTTCAAGTCTCTGCATGCAGTTATCTTAGTAGATGCTGGGAGAGACTGGGGATAGAATCTGGAATCCAAGAACTTAATAAACGAATACAAACAGGATATAAAGACTAGGAATTGTGCTGAGTGAAGCCTTCCAAACCCTGTAAGCTCACTGTCATCCTGTATTCAGTTGCTAAAAATTTATTGGAAGTTGCCCACATATGTCAAGTCTTTTTTCTTTTCATTCTGAAATCTGCTTATTTTTTAAAGCAGAAGCTTTCATAATTTTGAAGGATCTATACAAATTTATTTGAAAGATGCTATCCTTGATGCCATCTTCAGAATCCTATCTTAACAGAGGAAATAACACTTATACCCCTAGACATTCTGTGAGGAACCATAGGATATTGGGAATTCTCTCCTTAAGGTCAGAGACACCACTCCAGTCTCAGAAAGGGGAGTCAGTGATCTGATTTCTCTATCCTAACCCATCATAGTTAGCATGGAAAGGATCATGTCAACTGACTCTGAGGTCAGAAAAGCAACCTTGGAGAGGAAGAAAAAGAGGGTGTTTCAATGGGCAGCGGGGGGAGGAGACTGGAGAGGCCAGGATAAAGCTTGTTCATTCCGCCTCTGAAGTGCTGTCACTAGACAGGTAAAAAGCTCTCTGCAATTCTCCTGCCCTGCCTTGTATAGTCAGAAACCTCTGAATGTGGTGGCTTCTGATAATTGAAGGTGCAATCAGTAGGATTACATTCTTAGGAAGATACTTCAGGTACCCATTTTAGTCTGAATCAAAAGCAACAGTGCGTATTTTCTGGCAAGTTTTGTTCTCTAGTCAGGGTATTCTCTGGGAACACACACACACAGACTGGTTAGGAATTGAAGGAAGAAAAAATTCTAAGCCCTCATCCTCTGGTAGCTCCAGACACAGAATGCTCCAGCTAGTATCCGGCATTCACAAAATGAGAATTTGACTGAATATGCCTAAAAAACATCACAGGGGAAACTGTATTCTAAGTTTAATGGAGTTAGTCATAGCCCTTTAGATCAAGGTACTTGGGCTGGATTTGACTCAGTGACTCAGTTCCTCTCATACATTGGTGCTGGGTGCTACTAGCCTAGCTTGTTATAGCATCCAGATATAGTTGGCATGTCTTGTTTGAGGGGAAAACAGCCCACAAATAACCCATAGCCTGTTGTTTGATTATTTGAAGGTCATTTTTCTTCAAACAACGCATGCCACCTGGACTGGGCTGACAGAACAAGTGGTGTCCGGGTGCCAATTTACATTGTGGCCTTTTTGATCTTGTGAACCAGCCCAAGTGCCTACTATCAAGTGAGAACAGAAAAGCTATTCTAGTTCACAGGGGTGGGGGGCAGTTCGGTTTCATTTATTTGAACTGCTCAAGAGAAAACATGGGCATGTAAGCAGCTGCCATTCCTAACAACAGATAGAAGGGTGTGGTCTGTTTTAAGCAGAGGTGCTACTGAGGCTGGATGGAGAAGAGAGTGAGCTCCTGCCTGGAAATCTATATAACCTGTTGTGTTCTTTTCTCTCTGCTTTCCTTGCACAGCTCGGATTGGGAAAATGAAACGGAGGAAGCAAGACGAAGGACAGGTATGTCCCCTCTGCAGCCAGCCTCTCTCAGGATCCGAGGAGGAGAGGAGTGGGCATGTCGAACAATGCCTTGCAAAGGTAGAAGCACTAAGGGATCCTTGCTGCCTCTCCTTTCTTTCTTTCATCCTCTGCTATGCCTACTATCAGAATAAAAAGCAAGTTTTCAAGTTGAAAACTCCAGATTTGAATGCTTCTTTGTAGATCTGTGCTTGTCTTCTGTCTTGAAGGTTCTGGTCTACTCTATCTGGATGTTGTAATTGCACTACAGCCATTTTTCCGTACCTTTCAAATGAGGTTAGCAGGCTTGGTGCCTCTATGTTTAACACTTACAAAGAGTCTTTGCTTTTTACTATACCTTTTTGACAGTTGTGGTTTAACTATAATACAGCAAATCTCAGAGATGAGGCATGAATTGGAAAGGAGATGGCTAGCAAAGTACAGACTAGTAATTTCTCAGCCCAACAACAATCCTGTTGACACACAAGTGCTTACCAATTATTAGACTGATATCTAATCTCCCATTTTTAAGAACAGTAATTAAAAAGGCCCTGGCAGAATAGCTGCAGAACAATAATGTTCTGGGATGAATGCTGTTTGATACTAGTCTCCCTTTAGATTAGGCAGCATTTGTTAAGGTGATGAATGATTTCCTGATAGTGGTTAGCTTGTCATTCTGATCATTGTGGATCCTATAGCAACCTCTGATGCAGCTGACTGTAGACTGCTATTTGGGCAGTTAATGGACATTGTTAGTGTGACTATAATTGCCTATTGTTGAGTTGAACCATATCTTCAAGATCAGCATCAGACTGTTGTAGCAGATGATTATATGTCATCTGTGAAAAAGAGCTTCCCTCAAAGTTCTCTCCTTTTACCCATATTAGTCAACATTTAGCATTGGAGAGATGGTTCATATAACTATTGTTGTTGCAACACCTCTATGCTATGCTAAAAATCCTTCTCCAAAGCATTGATCTTGAAGTTTGATGTAAAGTATTGATGCATTTTGCTCCTTGCACTGTAGCAGCTCATTTTTTTCCGTTTTCTCTTACTTTCTTCAAATAGTTTCTAAATTTGAAGCAAAGGAACATTATTTCTTCTATACTACAGCTTTTAACAAAATTGAGTGAGAAAGTCCTAAATTCAAATTCCAACTCTGCCACTAATTCAATAGGTGATTTTAGGCAATTTGATGTCACAGTATAGTCATAACCCAATTTCATCATGGGGTTATGTTTCCTGGAACTCCCAGCCTTCTAAACTCAGTGATGAATGTGAATGTTTATCTTTTTGAATGATACAGTTTTATGAAATCTGTCCAACAGGTCCCTGCTATTCTCCCTCCATCCCTTCAGCTTTGTACACCATCCATTAGCAGGAATACTACCTAATAGAAAACTTATTTATCCAAGACATTAGCTGATGCTTGCTCTATTCTCTTTGCCTCCCCAGAGGGAAGGTTCATGCATGATGGAAGATGACTCTGTTGATATTGAGAATGAGAATGGTAATCGCTTTGAGGAATACGAATGGTGTGGGCAGAAAAGGATACGTGCCACCACCCTTCTGGAAGGCGGGTTCAGAGGTAAGAGGGGCATTATAGGAGATCACTGGGATGTGCTCCAGACTGAACTATGTCTGGGTCCTCTCTTTAGCATTACACAGAGTGTTATTCTTAGGCAACAATTTTGTCTTCTAATTTGTAGTCCAACTTACTTCCCAGAGAAGTTGTTGTTCATGCAAATATGCCCTCACGGATTATGTCTTTGATGGGCATGATATGTTCAGAATGATTTACATGTGCATCCAAGTTGGTTTATGAAAATCCTTGAAGCAACTCAGCATATTTGTCTGAATCTCAAGGAAACACAGCTGGAAATACATACAGAAAGTTGGTCCTGCTAAAGCTGATAAAGTTGCATCTGTGTTTTGCTCCCATAAGCCAAGTGGTTGGAGAAATTTATCGCATACCACCCGAAACCAAGCATATTTTACAAACTAGGAGTAGCATAATTGGTACTATAAATTTCCCATTTTCATCCTTAAGATTAGTTAACAAGATTCGTTGTAATTGGTTGAGGAGTTTCATTTTTATACTGTTGATTATCCTAGTCAGGAGGCAAAATGTTGTCTCAATCACTGAATCTTATTAAGCTGTGTAACAGGCCAGTTATGTACTTACTAGTTTAGGTGGGTACTTGCAGTTCTGCCGCTACTAAGATTTATTTTTCTATGCCTGTGAAAACAGAATAAAATTGGAGGAATAATGAGTAAAACATATAATCAGGAACATGTAGCCCAACACTGAAAAGAATAGGAGCAGCCACAAGCCAATCAGTTTCAGCAATACAGTGCATATTTTTTAAATGGAAATGAAGAATGAAATTGTAAAAAGTCCCAGTCTGGAGTGACGAAAGCTGGTTTATCAGTCACTGGTGATGTATGGAAGTTGACAGCTAAGTCACTTTAGCACCTGCATAAAATATTAAAGGGCCGGTTATGCATTTATCACTCCATCTTTTTTAAGGCTGATAAATGAGAATTCAGCAACCTGCCATACACCTCCAGGACTACAGCCCTCAGGGCTCTCAGACAAACACATCTTATTTTTCCTTCTATTCCTTCCCCTGTGACAGAAGAAATGGCTGCAAAGGAGAGAATGAGTTATGGCAAAATGTGACCTTTGTGAGTTTTATTGGTGAATGTAATTTTAGCTGTGCACCTGGCTCCTTTCTTACACCTCAGCGTTTTGCTCTGTGTTAGGATTGACTAAACTGTCTGGTGTGAACCTTGTGATAGTGAGGAAAATGTCCCACCCTTCCTTGAACAGTAAACTGGTACACTGCCCTATGAAAATAAAGTTGCCACCTGGTTGGATGTAAGGGCTGTATCTTAATAGTTTGGACAGGGTTTTAATCTGAAATAGCCAACTAGGGAAAGGGAGTGAGGTTTACAATCTGGATGAATTACTTGAGCTTGTAGATAAATGTGGGTTTAAAAGTAGGTAGATTGGAATCTGGAATTAAGCAGTACTATGGCATATATTGAGTAGTCCGCCATAAGGGAAAAGTGTGCTCCTTTGACTACCAGTAAATGCAAAAGCCTTGTCTATTCCAGGGCAGACCTTCCAGCATGCCATGCTAGGGCTGTTTGTGATGTATTTGGTTTCACTTAGAAATTATAGCTGTGGAGAGGAGAGATTTCTGTCTGCTGTTGTGATTTCGTATTACTTTATTCCCTTTCTTCAAAGACCTAATTACCTGTTTCATCCCAGGCACCCTAGTTCTTTCCTTTGCAGCACCTTAGACTCAGTTTAGTAAATCTTCATCTGGAATCCTTTGTTGACATTGCCATCTCATGGGTCTCCTGTGTCTGCAGTTTTACTCAGTCTTCTCATTCAGGTGATTGACTGCTGGGGGATGCATTCACTTTTCAGACCCTCCTTGACCCTGTAGAATTCTTGTGGGGAGGGTCTGTCCTATTAGTTTCCTGCATGCTGGGCATAACAAGAACAGTATCATGACAGAATATTCTTACCCAAACGTTCTTGCCAATGTTGAGCAGTCTGCATTTTTTGGTAAACACTCCATCTGATCTTGAATGTAGTGTTTACTCACACCTGTCATGCTGTAAATCCTACAAGTCAAATGCACACATTGAACAATTCAGACAAAGCATCCTTAATTTTTAGGCAGGAGGAATACACTGCAACTAGCATGGAAAAACAAATAACTTGTGCTTATACAGTGGTACCTTGGCTCACGAACTTAATCCATTCCACGACTCTGGTTGTGACTCAAATTGGTTGTGACCCAAGTCAAATTTCCCTGTAAGATTCAATCTAAATGAGGTGGCCCTTCCTAACGTTGTTGTGACCCATGTCAAATTTCCTCATAAGGTTCAATATAAATAAGGTTCATCTGTTCTGTAACTGTTTTTTTTTTAATCAGAAACAAAGTGACAAAGAACAACCAAGTAACAAAGTACTGTACAGTGGAGAACACTAACCTAGGTGTGGGGGAGATTATTGTTTTGAGGGAGAGTCCCCCTCCATAAGGACATTGGGGAGATCTCCTTCAGGGGTTTCCTCTCTTCTTTGTCTCTTAGCTGCAGGGTCAGTTTTGGTGAAAAATCTGTCTATTGTCATTTGGTTTTCCTGCGCTGCATAACCCTCCGGAAATGAGAGACCACGTTATCATTCATCAGATTCAACACTCTGTTTGTTACAGTTATGTTGGGGTGGTGCTTCTCAAATCCTGGCACAGTGCACTCCTGCAGGAAAGACAGGCACGGCACAGCCATGATCACACACGTCTTCCCTGCATGAACGCAACTGCGATTGTGGCCATCACCCCACTTGGGGAGGGTGGGAAGATGGCTGCAATCTTGGTCACCACCCAATGCAGAGTTGGCGACCCAAGTCAACATTTTCATGAAATTTTTGTTCGCAACCCAATTTGGTCATGAACCAAGGTGTTTGTGAGTCGAGGTACCACTGTACTATTTTGATGTGGGAAATACTCACCTTTAACAAAAAGTAATCTCTAATTTGAACCCATTTGTGAAGGGTTTGTTTGATGTGTTTAGTTGAAATCTAGGTGGGGGAAGGCAGCCATTTAGATAACTGTAAAGAAACAATTGTGTCCTTAGAAATTACTTTGCATGTGTCCCCTGCTGTGTTTTCTTGATCAGACTGTTTATTGCCCTTTTCTTACCATGTTTCAGTCAAAGGGTATTTTTCCCCTTTTTTCTGGAGATCAGACTTTTCTAAGCAGGACCCAAAGCTAAAGTTAGTGCTGTGCTGTCTGTTGCAGAGTTCTGGAAGTTTAAATGAAGGGAATATCAGTCAGAAAACAGTTTGTGTCATGTTTTGAGGGTAAGAGAGCAGGGCTGAGACTCAGACAATCTGGATTCTAGTCCTCATACAGCCACGGAGCTAACTGGGTGAAGCTGGGCCAGTTACAGACTCTCAGCCCAACCTACCTCATGGGGCTGTTGTTGTGAGGATAAGATTGACAGGAAAAAGAGGAGGAGAGTTAAGTAAGACTCCTTGAATTCCTGGAAGGAAAAAAGGCAGGATATAAATATAATAAATATGTTGCAAGCCTCCCCTGAACTGAAAAGAAAAGCCCAGTTCTATCCAGAGGGTAAAGTATTCCATTATATAATATAGTGTACATGATTTTTTTTGGTGTAGACTAGCATGAATCCATTATTCTAAGTATTTGTTGATCAGCTTTACAAAAAAAGATAACATTAACATTTAACATTGGAACATCATTTTAATAACGTAGAATGCATCATATGTAAAAGTTCCAGGTAGGACTCTTCTATCCTAGTGGTTTTCAATGGGGGAGATTTCCTGCTGGTCCATGAGGGAGTCAAATCCCACTCACTGCGGATTGGCTCAGGGGCTGGCTTTCCTGTTTTCGCCGGTCCCCATCTGTGGAAAGGTTGAAAACCACTGTAAATCTATCTTAACCCAGTCTGTTTCACAGTGATAGTATGAGCCTCACCTTAAGCACAGCTTGGTTTGTTGCAACTCATTGGTCAGAAACTGATTCAGAACACAGGCTTAAATAATGGTGTCACTGGTGTCTAGGCCCCTGTTTCTGTTTTTAGATGGGTTTGAATGTTTTCAATTCTCCATACATGTGTGGTAAGAACCATCTCTATACATTTATTTTAATTAGGCATCTGAATTGAAATATTTTAAACAAAGTTGACTTAGAGTTAAGTCCCTTGCTTGCTTACTGAAAAGCAATTCCCACTGAGTTGGATGGGACCTACTTTCTAATAAGTGTGTTTGGCCTTAATAAGCCAATTTAAATAGCTTGACAGAAAATGTCTAAATTTCAATTTTATGTTCTTTGAATATGAATGCATACAGATTGGTTGCTCTAAAACACAAACATTTTTCCAATTAGTGGAACCTCTAGGCTATATCTGATGGTACGTAATGCAGCCACCTTACTGAAGCTAAGCAGGTCTAAGTCTGGTCAGTAATTGGAGATTGCCTATAAATCTCTCTCTCTTCTATGATGGAAGAATATGCTGGACTAATCTAAGAAGAACTCACTAATTTGGTCCACAAACTTACTGCACTACAAAATGTATAACTGCTGTGGAGAACAGTTCTGAAACAAGGATTTCTGTTTGTCTTTCTGTGTACGTGCCTTCATATATGAAGATATTAATCAAGAAGATTTACTTGAAGTGAAATGCCTACAACTTTCTCAAAGAAAGGACAGGCAGTTAATGTGCATAACAGCATTTCTTCGTGGCATGGAAGTATCTGTGCTATTTGACAGCGACTGCAGTCATTCTGCTTTCATTTCAGTTCCCCTCCTCCCCTTTTGTACAAGAAGGTAAATCATAAAGAGAATAACTTTGAGTGAAAACCATAATCTTAGGTTTGAGCAAGTGTGCCAAAACAGGCAAAGTTTGGAAGCCAGCTTTAAATAAGGTGTGTTATTGATTTAGGATTCCTAGTTTGTTTAACTAAAATTATCCATAATCCTGGTTTAGATGTCATGCAAAGCATTGTCTTTTCTTCCACAAACACCCAGTCTATTCACATCATGG